TTAACAGCTACGTGACCTACACGTTAATCATTTTTCAGAGTTGAACGTTAACAGCCACGTGACCTACACGTGAATCATGTTTCACAGTTGAGCGTTAACAGCCACGTGACCTACACGTTAATCATTTTTCAGAGTTGAACGTTAACAGCTACGTGACCTATACGTGAATCATGTTTCACAGTTGAACGTTAACAGCTACGTGACCTACACGTGAATCATGTTTCACAGTTGAACGTTAACAGCCACGTGACCTACACGTGAATCATGTTTCACAGTTGAACGTTAACAGCCATGTGACCTACACGTTAATCACGTTTCGAAGTTCTGTCCATTAGTTTGTCCTTAATTTAACGTGTGTTTAATTAGCTTATAACAAGAAGTTACATTAGTAATATGTAGGTCACGTGGCTGTTAACGACGTTCGATTATTGATGAATTTGCATTACCTTTTCTTTACCATTTACACCTCATGAGAAGTAATCTACATATGGAACGAGATGTAATTATTGTCATTTAATTGCATACATATAATATCATAAACTTCATACTGGAATACTGATAAGTAAGGAACATTTGAAACTTTCCTGGTTTCTGTGAATACATAATAGATCTGATTAGCTTATTACGCGATGACAGTGAAAAGGTTTTCGTTTAGCTATGTGGACATTTGATATACTGCGAAATAATGAAATTATTACCTGTTGAGCTTAATCAAGATATCTCCTCTGTTGATATAGGCTTGAATATAGTCAGCCCTCATGCTAATGGCCTGTCTGTAGAGCTGCGGAAATAGAATTAGAATAATGTAAAAGATATTCCTTGTTTACCATCTTCAAAATAGGATTAATTTGAATTTCAAGATGACTATTTCGTCTTGAGCTTTCAACACGGCGTGTGATGGGCAGATCCTATTGAATTTTATACGAATTTAATCATATTCATAAACCAAATATTTGATAATGCTTAATTACTAATTCGAGAATACACTGCTGTAGACTACAATACGTTTCCGACACTCATACTGACAAAGAGAAATGTTGTGATGATAAGAATCAGGGGAAGACAACTAACACGAAGGCTGTGTTGTAGTTAGATACTGGGGAAGACAACTAACACCAAGGCTGTGTTGTAGTTATATACAGGGAAGACAACTAATATCAAGGCTAGTGTTGTAGTTATATACAGGGGAAGACAACTAACATCAAGGCTATGTTGTAGTTATATACAGGGAAGACAACTAATATCAAGGCTGTGTTGTAGTTAGATACTGAGGAAGACAACTAACACCAAGGCTGTGTTGTAGTTATATACAGGGGAAGACAACTAACACCAAGGCTGTGTTGTAGTTATATACAGGGAAGACAACTAACACCAAGGCTGTGTTGTAGTTATATACAGGGGAAGACAACTAACACCAAGGCTGTGTTGTAGTTATATACAGGGGAAGACAACTAACATCAAGGCTATGTTGTAGTCAGATACAGGGAAGACAACTAACATCAAGGCTATGTTGTAGTTAGATACAAGGGAAGACAACTAACATCAAGGTTATGTTGTAGTTAGATACAGGAGAAGACAACTAACATCAAGGCTATGTTGTAGTTAGATACAGGGGAAGACAACTAACATCAAGGCTGTGTTGTAGTTACATATCTTACCGCATCTGCTTCTTCCAAGCGAGATTTATTCCTGGAGATCACATTAGCTAGGTTAAGGAAGACATTCAGGTGATTTGGTGCTATTCGTGCCTTGTAAGGCTCTCCAGCTCGAGGTCTAGGCAACAGGTCTTTCGCCTACACAGATTAATACAAAAAGAAAATGTTTATTAATTTGGTTATCGTCCAAAGCGAAAATGAGAAAACCTATTTTTTAAGTTCCAAATGTTGTAGTGAAATAATAACTAAATCAAATAACAGTTGTTTCTCTTTATTTAGCTACTTTTTCACCGATTTGTAGGTAAATCTCTCTACCTATCTAGCTAACTTGTTAGACAGACAGCTAGAGTAAACCACTTGTACGGAAATTAAACACCTAAAAAAAGCAAAACAGAACCTTACCTAATAGCTTGGGTTAACTAAACAAACACATTCAAACTTTTCTACTTGTGCTAAACCTAACGAAATAGCCTTAAATATTTAATATAATGGAAACACACTAAGCCTAAGATTATGTTATTATGATTCATCACCAATTACATTGATTAGTCAGTTGAAAGTTTCCGATCCTAGAGACATCCGTCGTTTAAGTGTGTGCGTAAATCTATCTGTTGTTGACTCCAACACGATATCGTACTTTCAACAGTGACAAGATTATAAAGTTTTTGTATTAAGACACTTTACGTTTCTTTTTCTTCACTTAAAACCAAATACTTGACACGCCATTTCAGTTTGCTTTTATTTCCATCTGGCGTTAAATAATCATAGATATATATATACACATACATTACATACACCAACAATTTAGGAAAAGAACATGACAAAATACAGAGCACCATTTTGTCATATATATTTCAAGAAACGACGATCGTGGGGTAGTGTATATCATTTACGGAACCCTTCCTGTTTAAATATACCAAATATAGTCTATGGATATTAGCTTCTGAAGTAATGATGCAACCCAACCACTAGCCATTTGCTCGTTCATTCTATTTCAAACGTATCATACTGTGCGATCGATAGAAGTAATCTTTCTGCCCAACAAAACAATGAGAACCCCATTCAAACAACAGAATAATACATTCGAAATGTTTAAATCAAAGAAGGTTTCAGGTCTGTTAGACATAATTTTCTGTAGACTTGCATTTGAAATTGACATTACGTTCGCCCACACTATGCTAACTCTGCCTGTATCTAAGAAATTCCTACTCAAATTCAGGGAACCATTCTAGATCATATAGCAAAAACATATCCAGGCTTTACTGAAAAAAAAAATCCCTTAGAACATTTCATCAAAATATATTGTATAATAGTCCAGAGGTACGGCTTTAGAGTGGATTATTTATTTTTATTTAACTCTTATTACAACGTTTCGACCACTCGTGTGGCTATCATAAGATAACTGTCGTCTATTGTGGGAAATAGTAAAGAAATACTGCTCCAAATTAGAAAACATATAGAGTGACACCCTGTGTTTTGATTTAAATTAGGTTTTGGTTCACGAATAATTGGATTTATATCAAAATACAGGTATTCAAAATTGGAAAAAAATGCTCGCCCAGTATTTCATCCAATAGACGACAGTTACCTGATGATGGTCACATGAATGGTCGAAACGTTGTAATAAAGTTAAACAAAAATAAAAATAAATAATCCACTCAAAAGCTGTACCTCTGGACTTTTATTTAAAGTACATAATGGATTTCCTCTCCTCACAATAAATTATATTCTAACTATGAAAATAACTATAGTATAATATTTTTAAACACATTAGAAAAGTGTACATCTACACATGGCAGAGTTATTCAAAAATGAAATAAATTTTACTGTCTAAAACATCGGTTGAGCATAATTTAATAAATCAAACTTCGTGTCGGAATTCGTCAGATATTATTAGCCGAAACTATCGACATCTTATTCAACTGATGAATCAATGTATTCTAATTATCATACATTTTTCATGACATACTCCTAGTAAGACCCTATATTGAATTAGCAACATTATTTACTCTTTAATTCTGATTTATTTAAAAGCTTGCTTTGACAAGAAGTTGTGGTATACAGGCATACTACGTGTTTCCTATCCCCTTGTTTGATACAAGAAAAAATCCTAAATTTCTTTGCATGCTGTGAGTGTGTGCTTAATAAGAATGCCATTCAAAGGAACCATTAAATTCCTTTCGCTCTAGTTACTCACGGAACAAGGTCATTCAGTTAAAATGCTACATACACTTTCTCATGGGAAAGATTTCTGTAACGTAGAACATACTGTATAGAGGTCTTGCATGTAACGTCACACAACTTTGTTTTATTCAACGTCACCATATTGGACGCAAAACATTCCCCTCTAGCAAACAACAGCAATCCATATTGATACAAGATTCGAACGTTTTTAGTTCTGTGATCTGTTGTGAAAAAACTTTCTTTTGAACGAGGAAACGTTTGCTGTGCTGTTGGTTATCAGAACAGACAAAAAATGTTCACCTGGGTTGCATTTATATTGAACAATTTAGCTACGGCATGTCCTAACAATTGGACTATTAGTGAATTTACGATGTTTTGTAGTGTACACTTTGTATCCAAATATAGTACTAAAGTTTATATATATATATACTAACAGATAACAAATGAAGTATTCATTTTCTTGACAGACAAGCATTTGTGGGTTTTTTTGCATCAACCCTTTGGTAAGTACTCTCATATTTTGGGTTAATGGGTATGTTAGGCTAAACAGGGAATTAGGGTCTGTTGTGGGGAAATTTTGAAAGAACGTTCTGGATCATATTTGAAATTATCAACTGAATCTTACGTGAATAACAATCCTAACGTTATAACAGATCATGAATTTATTAGGGCAATTTCCTTTGGCTTTGCTTTTTTTTTAATCTACAGAACTGCACTTCCAGTTGTCATCCAAGGTGAGGGGATAAATGTATCCCCCAATAAAAGATTTTGAGTTAATAATGGAAATTCTAAAAATCTGCCAATGTAAAATCCGTTTTTTACTTGACCTTTGTTTTAGTGTTTATTGCGTTCACACATACGCAGCAATAAAAGGGGTATATGTGTGTGTGTGTGCTTGACAGTCTCTGTAACTGTGTCTGTATGTTCAGTATAACCTGTTCCATGTTCAATATGGTGCCTTGTTTTGTATCCTCCAGTGCTTGCATAATCAGACAAACCCACATTTAACACTAAATAATGCATTCTAAAGCACATAAATCGTCTTTTTAGATGGCTAAAAAAGGTGATTACAGTAGCACCGAACAAAAAAATGTGTTTCTATCATGAAGAATGCGGTAAGAACTTCAAAAAAGAAAAAAGAAAAAAGAAATCTAAGTATCGTTCGTGGATTAAAATATGCATACTTTAAAGCACTTAGGAAATTAAAGACATAGCAGAAACTATCGAACCTGAAAATGGTAATTGTTCTTCCCCCTACCCACCCCCCAAATAAATAAAAAGGAAATTCTTTATTCATTAGGTCACATTTGTAAGTGAAAATGCTAAAGTAAAACTCGTAAGTTTTCAAAAAATATCAAAAAGTGAAAATTTTGGTTTGCTAAACTAAAAGGGTTTACATATATTGTATAAAGGCTCGTTTATAAGATATATTATCAATTTTGAGCCCCACCTCTCACTGAAAATTTAACCAAAAATACCCTGCATTATAATACGAAGTATATATTTTTTTTATACAGCTATGGTTATTATAGGTATTTATTTGCAAGCAGCAAGATGAGACAAACTTACTATGTCTGCGGACTTACAACGCTAGAAACCGGGTTTCGATACCCGTGGTGGGGCAGAGCACAGATAGCCCATTGTGTAGCTTTGTGCATAACTACAAACAAACAAACAAACAATACTATGCCGATATTTTTAAAATAGGGTGCGCTTTTTATGTTAATATCGCATTTTTAAAACTTTAATGTTTTCCAGATACATTTCGTTACATTTAACCTTAAATAAGGATACATTTTTTATTTGAGCACTCCGAAATTAGGATATGGTATCTTACAGGATCTGAGGGTCAGACGTTTAGCCTCAAATCTTCATAAAATATCAAGTATCCCTCAGTAAGCAACCAAATATTTATAACCATCAATGCTTTTAAAGGCTTTCAGGGCCTTAGATGTAAAATATTACGATGAACTTACCAGATAATTATGTTTGGGTAATGGACATCAAGAAATGCTTTTCATGCTGTGAATATGGTGTAAACATCGTCTTTGTCAAAATAAATACGGATTCGAAACTTTAAGACTATTTTTAACATAGTTTTCTTTGTGCACCACGCTGAGGTGATTTACAGCGTCAGTTAACACAATATTAGAAGGCAAATTTATCACTTTTCACGCAAGACGAAGGTAAACACTTGACGTCCATTATGGCGGAGTAAACTATAGACCACGTGACTTTTTGAAATAGACATTGATATTTTTCCCCTGGCAAGTCAGGTGGTGCTCGAAAAAACACAACACCCCTTAATTGGAGTGACAATGAGTGCATTTTTCGTGTCGGGGTTCAGCGTGAGATGATTGTTGATTTTCATGTATAATGCCATGTTTTCTCAGTCTGGATTATATTTTATCAGATTGCTACAGAACATATGACCATCTTACTTAGATTTTAACACACTGAGAGCTTTCCAATAAACTTGTTTTGAACTTTGATTGTGTTTGTTGAAAATGAAGATTGTTTCACTGTGTTATACACTATCTACTCTTTTTCTCTGCTTTTGAACTCGGTCGAGGTCGCAGAGTTCAGGTTTTTCGCTCTCCAATTCATTTTCTGGAGAACCTCCTATTACTATGGGATTTTTACAAAAGTACTAGAAGAAAAATCAGTGAACCTGAGAATACCACAAACTTATTGATAATTTGGTAGAGTAAATCTTTTAAATATGTTTTATTTGTTATTAAATTGTTAATATATTATGAACAGAAAGTATAAAGACTCTATTTTCTTGTGTAAATGCATAAAATATTCATTAGCATGTTCGGCATGTTTGTTTGAAGTTAAGCACAAAGCTACACAATGGGCTATCTGTGCTCCGCCCACCACGGGTATCTAAACCCTGTTTCTAGCGTTTTAAGTCCGCAAACATACCGCTGTATCATTAGGAGGCTCATTAGCATGCAAACTAATTCACGTTTAGGCTTAGCTAACATCCGCTACATGAAAAAACTATTATAATTTATTGTATCATCCTTTCAAATTGCAATGAAATGCCTGTAAACTGTATAAAGAGAGATACACCAAAGGAAAGGAGAATGACAGTTAGGTTTAGGGTATGTAAAGTGTATTACAATTTTACTGCAAGGTTAGGGTATCACTAATTACGTATTTTATTAATCGACTGTTATAGGCTAATGCAAATATCCCGTAATGATGTTGAACTTTATGTAATGAACAAAAGATTTAATCATGCCACTTTTCATGCGCTCTCGGTGGCTCAGATCGAGGGTTTATAATATTAAAATTCGGGGTTCGATACATGAGGTAAACATAGCGTAAATAACCCATTGGGCAGCTTTGTGCGTTAAAAAAAAGCAAATAAACCATATTTCAAAATATTCTATATTTTGTTCAAACAAACCAAGTTTAAAAATTGTTCAATTTCCGTTTAATTTTGCTCAGTATTTTGGTATGTTAAATCTTTTTTTTTCACTTCAGTTTATAATAATCTCAAAGACTTACTATATTTTTCTTCGGATTGAAATGTGGTTCAATTAGTTGGAAGAAATTCATTACTTTTTTAAATGTCTAGGTTGCCAAGCTATGATCAAAGCTTACAAACTATATATATGTTAATTTTCCCAAACTTTCGTGATAAATTAATGCGTAAATGAAGGCCAGGAAAATTAAATTTGACGCCAGATTCGAGTTCAGCGACTCTCCAAACTTACTCCTAGACTCCTCTATCCAGTCTGGGTTGCGGGCAAGTTTTAGACCCCCCTGGACTACGTGATATAGATAAGGACACCACACGGGCCACCGCAAGTTCGCCTGGCGGTGTTGGTCCTGCTAGCTCCAAAACTGCGAGAGGATTTTGCGGGCTAACAAATCCATAAACACACAGCATGAATTAACATAGGATAGACTATTTAATATAGGACAATAATTTTTTTTTTGCTCTCAGTGCAGAAGCTGTAGTAGAAACATTTTGTTTAAATGCTCTTTGTGACGAAATAAACGTCTTCCAGTTTTTGTACGATTAGTAACACGCTATTTTATCAATTTAGATTCAGGCTAGAAGCACAAAAAAATCTATTGCAGGTCACTATCTTGGATACCGTAAAAAAAAAGAATCCCTAGTCTTACACCTTTGTTCTTCTTGTCCTATATACGTACACTGACTGAACGATATCTTTATTTTCTTCTTACTAAGAAAAAGCACCAGAATAGATAAGGAATTATTTCAATAGAGAGGATTTAAAAGGTTTCATACATAACATTGCCTATACACTTAATTTACATTCAATACTTTCTATGAAACAAGACATACTTCTATGTTACAATAATGTTATAAGGTGTGGTGTTAGCCGAAAACAGTATTAAAAAAGGCGCTAAACAGTACATGTATGAACAGTATTAAAATCAACACTATAAAGCGCTAAAAATGCATTAACGATCTGCTCTATATTCGGTTTTATACATCTTTTTTGTGCACACCTCTTTCAGCAACGTTCTCGTAAAAATGAGCGGTCTTTAATTGATAAACAAACTCGTATGAGAAGAATACATATACATGTTCTTAATTTCAGGAGACGACCTAAAATATTATGTCGCTAATCACGCACGTTATTATCTTCATCTCCTTAACGACACTCCAGAAGAGAGAAAGGAAGATTTCTGTTATACGTAGAACAATATACATAAAAATATGCACGTTTTCTTCTAGTGGCTGAAACTTTTTCTCTCAAAACTCGTACGACAGTACGTTCATAAAATAAAACAATTTCATCAAAAATGACCATTTTGAAAAGTATTGGTAACTTTTTTGTGTCAGACATTGTTTCACAAACTTTTCTCCACCAGGAAAACTTGGAAAAATCACATAGAATGAGTCACACCAGTAACTACTACGTCCATAGGAAAGTGAGAATAAACCCCCACACATAGGAACACCTGAAAAACAAAGTTAGAACAAATCCACACACACAAACACCTGAAAAACAAAGTGAAAATACCCCCCCCCAAACACCCGAAAACAAAGTGAGAATAAACCCCCCACACATAGGAACACCTGAAAAACAAAGTTAGAAC